TTAACAAAGATACGCTTTTCTTCGAGATAACCTTTTTCCTTTGTAGGAGGCATTTGAAGAAAAGAAAAAAAAAAAAAAAAAAGAAAAATAAATAAATAAATAAACTTATCGATAAGAATACGTTATAATTAGATTGAGTTTAAAGAGAATGAAAAAAAAAAAAAAAGAAAAAAAGAAAAATGAAAAACAAAAAATTATAATCTTGCAAAAGTACGAAGATTTTATTATAATGGATCTTCGAAAATTTAATTAAAATCTATATAAAAAAAAAAAACAGAATATTTTCCATTAATTTCCCGTCGTCATCTTTCAGTCCACCACCCCCCCCCCATGGCTCTTCCTCCCTCCCTCATCCCTTACATTTTTTTTTTTTCAAAAAACTTTCAAAACTACAATACCGTAGAGAGAAGAAAATCGAAAGAGAAGGAGATTATTTACCATTCTTCTCATTTCTCATATTCTTTTGTAAACTTTGACCGACATCGAAACGTCGAAATCTAGTTTTCCAAGATTCTCTTATCTCTTTCTTTTATTTATCAACAGTTCAAGTATCACGATCCATCGCTTGGTGGAAGCGCACCAACTGCCATGGAAATTCTCGTCTTTGGTTCAACCGTAGAAAAGAGAAAAATATTGAGGCGTTGTATCTCGATAAATCGAATTTCCACGACATAGGTACTGTCCTATAAATATGTATGTGATAAAAGATAAATATAAGACATTCGACTTTCTTATATAGAATTTTAATACAAAAGAGACGACGTCTATGTCCAAAAGTTTGAAAAATTTTGTAAGACAAAGTATCTCGAATATCGAATATGGAGAAAGAAAGAGAAAGAGATATATATATAGATTTACAGAGAGAGAGAGAGAGAGAGAGAGAGAGAGAGAGAGAGAGAGAGAGAGTAAAGATATCGATTCTTATCGAAATTATGACGTCCCTGTCTTTCACAAAGAGACTAACCACAGCACTCTTCTTTCAACGGAAGAAAAAAAAAGGCAGTAAAAGATTCTGTGGAAGAAGCCACAGCAAAGACATACAGGAAAAAGCAATCCTGTAGGATCTTCTGTTTCAAGGTACTATCTAAAAAGCGCATTAGTGGCAACAGAAAAGAAGGGTTCTATGTGAATAGATGAAGATAGAAAGGACGAAGAAGAGTAGCCGGTCTTTCGGTCATTAGAAATTAGATATCCCTGAAGGTTATATTCTTTCAGTATAGAAACCCCTTTTTTTTAACCGAGATATCCCCTTACTCGTAACACCCATGATTGACCACTTCGATACTAAGTATCTTCTGTTATTCGTCTTTTTTTGTTAAATATATATATATATATATATATATATATATATATATATATATATATATAGAGAGAGAGAGAGAGAGAGAGAGAGAGAGAGAAACTCGACTCTCTAGCAAGAATATCTAACTATATTGTCATTAAGATTGTTCTGAAACGAACAATTTAATCTCGGCTTAATTCACGAGATACGAAATGGCTTTCGTTTTTTGTGAATTTAAAATCAACGAAGAAAATCTGTTGATGGCTCGATTTACGACAACGAAGAGAATTAAATTGTTTCGACAAAAGCATATATATATATATATATATATATATAGATAGATAGATAGATAGATAGATAGATAGATATAGATATAGATACATAATGCTGATAAACAATCATGGCGGAACAGAAAACGAGATTTTATTTCCTCATTTGTTGCACGTTCGAGTGTTTCTTCGGAAAATCAATTTCTTTAAATGCGATCTCGAACGAACGAACGTACAAACGAACGAACGAATGAATAAATAAATGAATGAATGAATTATATACTCCAACGTTAAATATTATAATATTAAATGAACAGTATCTACTCGCAAAACCTACTTATCTCATGAAAAATTCGTATGATCATTTAAATTTATTAGCGACGATATAAAAAAAAAAAAAAAAAAAAAAAAAAAAGAAGGAAAAAAAAAAGAAAGAATAAAAAAAAACCTAAGAATTAACTTCAACAATTTCTACAGAGTAATTAGTAACTACAGATATATAATTAAATATATATATATATATACAAGGTATTAATCTCGACAACCGAATTTTTTATAAACGTGTCGCTCATTTGTCAAATTGATTAAATCCCACAGAACGCAGAGTATAGAAAATTAATATAATTGTATATAAATTAAAATTATTATATGATTTATTAATCAACGTCCAATACAAATTATTGTTATTTATAGTGATGTTAAGTTTAATTATTACGGGAATTTGTATCATTTAAATTGTCAAATAAAAAAGTTTGATAACAATCAAGATCTTTCGTAAAATTTAGAAGGAACATTCTAAAAGCCGAATTAATCACTTTGGCCTGTGAATATGTGTCTCTTAAAATAGAGAAAGAGAAAGAGAGAGAAAGAGAAAGAGAGAAAGTAACAAATATATGAATCTATTTCAATCGTACTAAATATCGCTAAATTTTCGCGAATTCGTAATTACAGAGAGAACACACAGAAGACCCGATGTCATTAATAGAAAACCGCGAATACACG